TGTGTGTGAATGCGTTCAAAGACACTCTAATTTCTTTCACATCCTGAAGAAGAAGTTGTTAGACCAAGAATTCGAACAACTATCTTTTGCAAAGTTGGAGCACTATATCCACACAATTTCCACCATTCATCTACATGTTATCTAAAAGTTAGTTTCAAGTATTATATTAAGTAAACATATACAAAAATAATTAAATTTAAATGCTCACCAGGTTGTAAAGACTTTCTAGTATTACGAGCCGATTATCTTCCAAAACTTCCTTAACGATCTCGATACATCTTTATCTCTCCCATTGCTTTTGTCTCATAATCGCAAATGCCTTTGATCTCAAGTAAATTAAAGAGGCATTGCATGGCTTCTACTTTTTGACAAAATCCTTCATCATAAATGAAAGCAGGATTAAAAAACTAAGCTGCTGCATGTATGTTAAGGCGTAGATGTTTATCCCATCGTTCCTTGGTGATATCAGTGTAAGGCTTGTACAATCTTTTCTTATTTAAAAAAATATTTTTGATTCCTTTTCGTGTCCTATGCTTTCCGTCATATACATAACCCAATGAAGGTTTTTCATCTGAATCTACTATTCATAACAACCTTATGATATGAGCTACAATTTTCACAACCATCAAACAATCCTCCCAAAATTTGTTGTCCAAGATGATAGAACTTACAAGTCTCCCAGTTGCACTTTTTTAAAGCCTACAGCTTGTGAAATGCCTACTTGTTACCAAACTTTGCCATACTTATAAATACTTCTCAATGTAATAAATGTGGTAGCAAAACGAGTCACAGCTGGACCTACAATTTTCTTCCATTCAGGTATTTTTCTCAACCAAGACAAAAAAAATTGTGTTGTTATACACAAATATTGTAAGCTTTGAAGCACGTAATACAATGGAATGCATGTTAGGCATACTACTAATATCTTTCAAAATAAGATTCAAGCAATGTGTAGCACAAGGAGACCAAAAAATGTGGTCATACTTTTCATTCAATAATTTTCCTGCCGCCACATAGTTAGCTGTATTATCAGTTACCATATGAACAACATTACGAGGTCCAATCCATTCAACTACCTCAGAAAATAAGTTACACAATGTTCGAGCATCTTTCACTGCATCCGACGCATCAAAAGACTTTATAAATACAATCCCAGAAGAACAATATACTAAAAAATTAATTAAGGTTCTATGTCTTTGATCACTCCAACCATCGGCCATAATTGTACGTCCACTATTTATCCACTAGTTTTGATAAGTATCAACTAGTAATTGACATTCTTTTTTGCAATCCCTCAACAAATTAACATGAACGTCATTATAAGATGGACCTTTAAATCCTGGGCCAATTGCATCAGTAGCATCTAAAGCGAGTTGAAAGTAAGGCGAATGTAAAGCATTAAATGGAATGCAAGCATCATAAAACCACCTAGCCCAAGACATACGGGCTCTCTTTACTGCTTGATTACCTGCTAAAACACTCTTCAAACTAGGCTGATCTCCAGGAGTAGTCCTTGGAGCAAAATATGTTTCAATCCCTACACTTGCTTTTCTCTTCGCTTTTTCTTGATTTTGCTTTTGTAATGGTTTATCTATTTCTTGAATTTCCTCTTCTATTCTCTTCTCCAATTTCTAAATCTATAGGATTTTCCCCGAACGTAGAGTCATGAGCCTCTTTCGCCTCTTGTTTCTTTTGAGATATATCCTTAAGAATTTCTTGAAATTTAACCCGAACATCAAAAAGAACTTTCTTACATTGAGATATTTGACCTTTCATTCCAGCAAGATGATACTTCATTCTTTCAATTCCCCCACCTTTAAAGCTATTGTTGCAATAAAGACATGTGAAACGAATTTTACCGTCAATGTCATGACGTGAAGAAAAGTGTTCCCATGCAGGATCGCTCTTTGCACGACTAGAAGGTGTGGAACTTATAGATTATCTTCCCAAAGATTGAGTATTGCTATCCATCCTAAATAAAAGCAATGAAATGAATATAAGTGTTATTCAATAGCAAAAGCAAAAATGAACCCATTTGGATTCCTAAATAAAGAATTAAAGATACATACGTATGTATAAAAAATTATTTTTTTGCCATTAAACGTTCAAATCTGCACATCTGAAGATACAAATGTATAAACTGTAAAGAATTAATTTTTTTCTACCATTAAACATAAGAATTATCAAGTATTTTAATGTTTTCAAGTCCCTTGTCACCAAAGTAAAAGGTAAGCAGAAAGGATCCCATTTGGATTCCCAAACAACACACATATGCATGTATAAAAAAAATATTTTTTCACCGTCATGATATTGATTTGTACACAACCGAACAAGAAAAAATATTTTTTCACCGCCATGATATTGATTCAACAAAAAAAATATAAAGCATCACAAATCAGTAAATCACACACAATTGAACCGCAATAGCATATAAAAATCTGTAAATTACAGCAACTACACAGTTGAAAACTACCGACTTCGGACTCACGATAAATTAGTAAATTATAGCAAGAATACAGTTTCAGTAACTAAATAAACCAATAATTTCCCATCCAAAACAAAAATCATTATCGTTATATAGTGACGAGAAATTTAACCTTATCGAAAATCTTGCTGGAAGGATTAAAAAATAAAAACTCAATAGTCAAGAGTCTTCAAAAAGAAGATAGCATTCAGGGCAGTCGGCATAGAAGAATGAGGGGAATTTTGGAAGTCTAAAAATAATAAAATATTAAAAAAATTAAGGGTTTCAAATGTTTTAAAATTCATTAGTTTTGAACCGTATAAACCGAGTGCGGGTCAACGGTTTTTATAAAACCAGGTGGGTCACTGATTTTAAAGGCGATTTTTAATTTTAAGGTTCTCAAGACCTAACTGACCCGGTTTCGGGCCCAGTTCCAAGTTTATTCGGCTGGGCTGGGCTGGTGTTAACAACATTGAGTTAGTCTTTATACGAGGCCGAAATAAACAAATTCTTTCAATTTTAGAGCACTCCTCAAGTCAATAGTTCAAATTCATTCAGCTATCTCAACTCAACATTTGTTCAAGCTAAAGATAAAGTAAAGGATAAAAAATGTAGTCAGAGTAATTAAACTACTTGTGATGGCAGCTCCAGCTTACAATGGCAGTAATCATTTGACCATCCCATCTTAACAACCATCTTAGCCTCTTCAATCCTTGAATCCTTTGTCAACCCATCCACCACATTCTGCAACAATCTTGCATCAATCAGACGCTTCCTCTCGAAAACCTCTTTGTAAAGCTCAAAATCCCAATCATAATCACCTTTGTCTAATGCAGATGAAAGAACCACCCTAAACAACGCCCTATCCGGGACACACTTGCTTCTGACCAACTCGCCATACCATTTCTTCACCCCCTCCAAATCTCCCTCCTCACAATACCCTCTAATGAGAATTGCGTAGCTAAAAAAATCAGGTTGTATCCCACTTTTCCCCATTTCACTAATCAACTCAACAGTTCCATTAAACTTCTTCTCATTAACCAATCTCACAATCCTCGTATTATAGCTCCTAACGTTGGGTAAAAATTCACTTTCCACCATTCGTCTCCACATATTGTCACAATCATCAAACCTCTTATTCGAATATAACTTATCGAGAACTGAATTAAAAATAACCAAATCGGGCTTCATCCCACTTCTTTCCATCTCATCAACCATACCCAACCCTTTATCTTACTCCCCCATCTCATAGAGCCCATTGATCACAATATTATATTGTGAGTATTGGTCCTCCTAACACTATTGGGTTGGTGCTATTTGTGTCATTTGGCTTATGACTTATTATTTGGACCATTAGTTGCCTAGGTGTCTCTTACCTATTGGTAGTTTTGGTTTCACCCGGATTGTGTTAGTTTGGTTTAAGTGTGGCCGTTGGATTGAGATCAATGGCTGGGATTAAATCTTGTGTTAGATATTTTCCTTGGCTGACTTTTCTCTTCATATTCACGTGAGTTATCTTCTAGGAGACTCTTCCTTTGTCTCTCGGTCTGCTCTTCTCTCTGCCTCTACGGTTTGAGGCTGCTATCTTCCTTCTTCTTCCATATATCAAAATCGACCAAGTAGCCTATTGATTGAAGAAACCTCGGTGTATTCTTAGGCCTGAAATAGTGGTAAAGATTGGTGGTTTCTCTGTTGGTTTTGGGTCCAATTGTTGGAAGGAATCTTGGCTATTTTGTGAGATCACTTGATCGATGATCCAAGCCAAGTGAGGAAGCATTCTGGCTAGTTCTCTAGCTCCCTCTGGAAGGCAATTTGCATGGCATGGAAGGCTATTTTTGAGCCTAACGTTTCAGCTGAAATAGGAGAAGGAACTTGGCATCAACTGCGAAGGAGAAGGAAGCACGAACAGGGAAGAATCTATCCTTTTTATGCCTTTTGATTTATGTCCATTTAAGGTTTCATTTTTCGGTTTCTATGGTACATATACATATATCTATTAATGCCTGTATATTGGAAACCAGTTTCTGCAGTTTATGTGTAATCTGTAAATGCTAGGCTGAGGGTCTGAGATTTCGGTTTCTATCCATTTTCATGATTCTTTATGTTGTAATTGGTGATTACATTATGCTGGAATCGATTATGAACTCTGTCATTGGTTTACTGAGCTGTTGAACCTGTTTGTGTCTGAATTGCTCCGTCTTTATTCCCAACATATATGAAACGACATCGGGTCTCACTTTCCACTTCATCTCCATTTCCTGAAAAATCCCCTCAATCTCCTCAAGTTTCCCTGAATTCACACAAGCTAACAAAATGGCATTCACACTCTTCATACTCCTTTCACAATTCCTCTCAGACATTTCATCGAACACTTTTTTCGCATTCTCAAACATGCCTGATTGTCCATACAATTTGACAAGCCTGATAGAGAAATTCTCCTTGGAAATATCATGTCTAAATTGCTTTTGATGTTCGAGAATTTTTTCAATCCATTTGAAGCGTTTGGCAGAAGCTAGGCGGCGAACCGTGGACTCATAAATGCCATTCTTGGTGCGGAAATGGTCGGAAGATGAATAGAGCTTGAATTTATGGACGAGTTTCTTCAAGTTTCGCTCATTGTAGAGGTCCTCGGAAAGGCTCACCTCGCAGTCGCTGCCTGCTAATCCAGTCGCCTTCTTCTTTCTTCCTTCCACTGTTCCGACGAATCCCATCATGGGCGGTCGTGCCCCCTCGTCGGGCTGGGTCCGCCACTGAATATGAAAGATGTTGTACCAGACAATAGAAAAAAATTGATATCAAAATATATCAAACTCTTGGGAGAAAATTACAAAAAAATTATTGGAGGATGATTTTGGAAATAAAGGTGGAAAACCTTGCTAGTTCTTTAATCCAACAATATGCTCGTATTTAACTTAAATTCTTGTGGGTTGATCGTTTGTTAGTGAATTACTTTGATATTATGTTATTTGGTGAATTTTAGGATTATGTTTTGGGATTTGTGATTATATCAAGAGATAAATCATGTTTTTAGCTCAAATAACAAGCAACACTAAGTCATATAGGATAGGGATATACGTTTATTCTTAGATCAATCTTAATTTATATTCTAGATTTGTATTGCGTTATTTATTCGCATTATTCATAGACGTAGATAAAAATTGGATTAAGTTAACCTCAAAGGGAAAATTAACACATTAAAGAATATTAGTTGTCAATATATAACTAGAATTGGTTAATAACGGGCAATTGAGAATTAAAGCAAGTTAAGTGGTTAACAATGGTGGATTCACAATCCTAGGATCTTTTGTGACTTGATTAAATTTCGGGAATTGTGTAATTAATTTTAATTGTTTATATTCATAGATTAGGGACGTGATCGATAGAGATTAAAATCAGATTAAAATTGAAAAACTAGCCGTTATGGTTGGCTTTTATTAGACGAGTGAGACCCAATAACAACTATATTTTCAATTTTAATTTGATTTTAAGTTGTACCAAACAAGCTCTAGATGTAAAGAAGACCTACTTCCAATAATTAATTTTGCACGTTTCAAACTAGAGCTAATAGTTGATTAATTTTAATAAGTAAATAATCTTTCCTCGTGAAAATGTTATTTATCATTATATTAATTGTATATGACATTGTTCACTTGCGGAATTAAAATTGAGAACATCGTGCACATGCAAACACCACACTACGATGTTAAGCTGGGGATGAAATATATAAAAATCATTGCAACACTAGGATGCAAAGATGGGTTGTTACCAACATGGCCAAGAAAGTGTTCACCTCAAATAATACTACGTTTCACATTCTACTAAGACGTAATCGAGACACTCAACGCAAAACACAAATTTTCTAAAATTTTTAGAGACACCAAAAATATTTCAATCATTCTATCGTGGGCTCCAATAGTTCATCATTACATACTCTTGATCTTCCACTCAAGTTAACCAACATAAATTTCACTCACTTTATTTAAATTTTCATAATTTTTCTTAGCACTCGTAGTAACTAACTAGACCTTTTAATTTAAATCTGTCACCAAACTTGCAATTAAAGGTGGGTGAGGGTCTGTTTGGGTCGGTTTTAGACCCAACTCGAAATCAAAATTGACAAAGTTAGTTAAAGCTTGTGCACAAATTAGAGTAAAAAAATAAATTTGGCTTGCTTGTCAAGATATAAATTACCAATATAGTATAGTGTGAGAGGAGAAACTGGCAATGTTTTGAAAATCAGACCTATCATTAACCCAGAAAATGAAGGGGGTTGAGGGTTAAAGGTCAAAAGGTCGAATTGAGATTGAAAAGATAAGAGGGGAATTTTCATAAATATCACTAAATTTGAAAATCCTCAAAAATTTGTCATTTTCACTTTTGGTGTTGAAAAATGTCACTTTTTAGTGTAAAATGTCCAAATTACCCTTAGTGACACCTTTTTATGAGCATTTAATGCATAATTTGAATATCATTAATATTATGATGTGATGATTTATTTTGTATATTATAAACATTGCATATATTTATATTATATTGAGTTATATGAATTTTGTTAAAAAAATAATAATAAAAGAATTTGAAAAGTTAACATAAACACATATCTTCTTACCATTAACAAACTCTAACTTCTTCTCAATCTTCTTGATTCCTTGATCAAAAACACATTACTATTGAATTCATCATCCATTTTGAGAGATTAGACATTACAAATTATTTATATTTATATTTTATAGCTTACTATTTTTTCAATATTAAATACAATATGATGAAATGTAATGGGTGAAATTTTTGAAACTATTATTCATTGATTTGTTTGGTATTTGAAATATTTTTGAAGGGTAAAAATACCAATATCCTTTACAAAATGTGAAGGATTCTATATTTAATGAAACATTGAGATATTTATTTTTGAGAAGATGTTGTCATGTTGTAGTTGAGAATTGATTATCACCATTAATATTTTGAATAATTTCTTTCAAGATACCAAATACATGTTTTCAAGTTTTCGGCGATTCCTACAATTCAAATGTCGAATAGTTCATTTGAAATCGTCGAGTTAGACATGTGAACTGTTGAATTCGATATTTAGAAATTGTCAGGATAGACAATTTAACTGTCGAATTGGACACTTGAAAACTATTGAAACCCTTGATTTCACCTTTTGTTACTGTATGGATTGAAATATTCGAAAGTTCGACCTTCATATTATTAAATGTTGACATATTTATTGTGCGAAATTCTTAACGTTTCAATCCCAACATTTCAAATAAGAGTAATTATTTGAGATTCATCGTGTCGCATGGGAAAAAGTTAGTTCATGTGGATGACGAATGGAAGTGGAAAGTGGACAAAACTACTTCCATATTAGTACCGATCTAGATACAATGCATAAGGGACATGCTGTTGCTGACTATTTGGTAAAGACCGTTACCAAAATCATCTCCGACAAAACAAAACAAAAGAACTACACAATCATATGCAATTACCGCCCACCTCATTCGTTGTCGACGTTTAATCTTTCTTCCCCACTGTCTTCATCATAATCATCCGAGCTTATGACTATTAGCTTAGGAGTTGCACCATTTGTCAACCACTCATCGTCATCAGATTCATCTTCGTACCGAACCATAACTGGAACCCCTCATCGACCACACTCTTTGGTGACTGCGATGCTTCATTTACAACTTCGTCAAGGTTAGGAAAAGGAACAGCGAAAATGGCTCTCCTACCATTCCGAGGGTTGGCTTCCTATCCTCCGACGAAATTATGATGGGAAATAATGGGGACGAACCGGGTATTGGCAAAGGCTCATTCGGGTTGAACGATTTGTTGCTTCCTGTGAATGAACCCATTATGGAGAATGCAATGCAATGGGTGAAACAGTTTGTGTATGTGAGTAGTATACAATGTCACAAAGCTTATGAAGTGTTTAAGTATAATTCATAATAAAGTGATGCTATGTTATTTATAATGAACTTCATGGAGGAAAGAAACTATGGTGATTTACTACCCAACCACCAAGTCACGGCTCAAACTTAATTTGACAGACAATTGGTGTGATGGTTTAAGGTCTAATTGTATCTTTGACCTAAACTTTGTCCATAATTTGTGACAATTGTAAATTTTAATGAGTGTGTACCATTTTCTCTTAGAAATTTTTGCCTGTAGTTGTTGGCAATCAATTTTCATTAGTACATTTTTATCTTAATCGTAGTATGGTCCCTGGGATTTTTACATACTTCAACAACTTGAAACACCAACAGGCAATAAATTATGACTCGCAAAAATCATGCATCAACCATGAATTCGATGAGGATTCCTAAAGATGTTGATTCACCGCATTACGACATTCAAACCACAAAACAGTACCCACAGCTTCAACATGGATAACATAGGCAACATTTTCCCATACACAAGGGGCAAAAAAATTTCACTCACGATCATACAAGGCACTAGATCTACATTCAACATCAATATAAAAATTTTCTGAATACTCTTACACAATTGCCAAGTGTTACACTGACAAAAATTGAAGCAACTAACTGGAAGATTATACATGGACATTTTAGGAAAATGTTCTTCCTTGCGAAGCCCCAATTGGAGATTTTCCCTTCCATGCAGTCCCCATTGCATCTTTGTAATGTTATCTTTCTTTGACAAAGCCATGGATTACTTCCTTTTTTTCAAAACTTTAGTAAACCCATTGCTTTCCGGGGCGAGCCCACATTTTAATCATGTCACGATCGCATACTCTTGCAGTCTAAACCTTGTCAGGTGCCCTTGTACATTGAACCACAGTTCCTTTGTCTTATCAATTAGAATGAATCTGAACACTAGTTGTTGGATTAATTGGGCCAAAAATTGTATGTTAGGAACATCGGCTTGAGCCTGAGGTATGAATTGCTGAAATTTTCTCGCTATCGAGCATCAAAATTCTCTAATACGATTTTCACATACTTTACATTACTCCTTTGAGATATATGGGCGCGAGCATTTTCGGGAACGAGGATTTCAAAATTCATCTGCAAGAACAAAGTAAACAACAAAGAAAAGAAGATCAGATCATAATAATTCATAAATGTTAATGTGAAACACACGAGTAAGCAAGTAAAAAAAACATATGTAATGTTCGGATGAACTAAAGTTGGACATGTGGACAGATGGCTGCCAAACGGATCTATCGAGAAATACTACATTTAACTGTCTAGAACAACATTCCATATCGACAAATGACTCAACTCATATATCGATATTTAGTCATGTCTCGAGAATAACATAGACGAACTGTTGGGAACGACAGTTAATAATAGATGGATCACATAACTAATTTGTCGACAAGTATTCATCAAACTCCTTTGAAAGCAATGAAATATATACAAAAGTAAAAAGTGTGACATTTATAATATATAAAGTGAAAAATGTAATGCATGATCAAACATTATACTAATAAAGAACATGTTCTAACAAAATGAGGGGATTTCAAGAATGCAGATAATATGACCTTTCTTATTTTTCAACGATTTTCAATGACAAATTCCAACAAATCAACAATTAAAATTCGATGAAACAAATTTATAACTTGAATGTGTGAATTCCAACAATGTTTCATTTACATATTCAGCCTCAACATTTGAATTTTTGAGTAATCAAAAGCTACAAATTTTGACATGCAAAGTAATATAAATTCAAGAATAATGAAAGACGAAGTACGAAC